GGGCACAAGCTGTGGAAGGCCCTAAACAACAATGCTGAAGTCCCTCAGGTGTATCTCCAACAATTCTGGGGTACACTTGACAAGGACGTAGACGAGAATGGGAGACAACTCAACAATGTGCTAGCCGCCACCATTTGCAACACCAGAGTCACAATCACAAAGGCGCTAGTACAACAAGTGCTACAGATCCCGGAGGAGGAACATTATGACGCGTTGGTCCCAGAGGCACAAGTAATCGCCGACATGATCACTCTTGGCCACGCACAGCCTCTCCACGTGATGTCAGAAATCAAGACGGCTCGCTTGCCGCGCCCATGGAGGACACTGATGGCTACTCTGAATAAGTGCTGCACTTCCAAGCACACTGGATTCGACAAGTGCAGTGCTTACCTTGTGTATATCTTCCATGGAATCGCCTTCATGAAGAATTATGACTATGCTGCTCTAATATGGAGTGAGTTCTTGGAGATGAGGAGAAGAAAATTCGACACCAATCTAATCAAACATCTACCATACATGAGATGGTTCTCCTTGCTGGTGCGACACTTCTGCAGAACAATTCCTACAATTCAGAGGCGCAAATCATCTGAGAATGTCAGCACTCCAGCCCTTCAATATCTGAAGAGAATGCCAGAGGTACGCACATTGGTACCATTACCTATTCCTGTTCCTCTCCTCCTGTTAGCTGGGCGAAATGATCCACATGTCATACGCTACAGTGAGGAGAATGGTGTCATACTCCCTATGGCTCAGATAAACCCCCCTGAGCCTACCCCGGGGAGTCAGCCGAGAGTAAGTGAGGGTCCTGAGAGTTCAACCCGGCCACAGAGACCAGTGGCAAGCCGGCCCCATGATGATCAGACTATGTCTGCTGAGGGCCACCCCCGTGCTGAAGAGTTTACCCATGATTCGCCAAGCGTAGCCACAACACAAGACGCTGACGATGAGGGCTCTGGGAGCAAGGCTAGGAACGACGACGATGATGATGATGAGGACGACGACAATGCCAATGCAAAGGGCAAGAAAGTCGAGAAAGCCCGTGCTAAGAAAGGACGACTCGTTATCAGGCTTTCTCGGGCTACAACACAAGAGCAGTCTCACCAAATCAAGGACACTCAAGGAAATATCATCAGTGAGACTCGCTCCAAGGTGCGTCATGATCTTGCCTCATCATCTACTCCAGTGCAAAGAGTGCAAACCGCGAACAACCTGGCAGAAGAGTTAGCTTTATATGACAGCTGCTCTGACCTTGACACCATAAACCGGGCTAACCCCATAGGTGCAGAGGCTGATATTTTCAGTCTCCGAGTAGAAGACGCAGCATCTAGCCCAACTGCGCATGCACAAGCCTCACCTAGCCACTCTGCTGCCTCCCAACAGGTAGTAGTTTCACAAATAGGGGATCTTTTACCCACCTCGCTGCCTCCTTACGAAGCAGCTGAGGATTTACTTTGTGGTCTTCCGCCCCAGACCACTACCCCTCCTTCTAGCACATTGAGTCTAGTTTCCACCATCCCAACATTTTCAACATTTTCTAGGACACATACACTGCTCACACCACTGCACACGACAGGTGCACTCTACTTGTCCTCAACGATCGGAGATACGTCAATGATGATCGGAAGTCCTGCTGCACAACAGATAACTCCATCATTATCTGCAGGCCACACTTCAGTAATCTTTACTGATGCTGTGACAACGGTTACTACCCCTGTAACCGGACACCCTGACCCTACCGACCTTTCTGTCATTTTGCAACGTTTCTTGGATTCCACCATTAAACCATGGGTGCACGAAGCAATAACCGCTCGGGCACAGGAATTCAGGAACACCCCGGCGTTGCTAAATGACATCATCCAACCCCAATCAACATCCTCACATACCCAACAAACCCAACCACTTCCTATCATACCTACCCAACAAACCTCTGAACCATCCACAACCCTACCCCACTCACCTACTGCTTCAAGGGGAACCCAGGATACAGAACTAGTGTCCTCCCCTACTTCGACCACACCTTTTCCTGACCCTAAAACTTTACCGTTCGAGGTACTCGAGAACCTTATGCTAGATCAACTACTAGCTACCGAAGAAGGCAACCTAACCCAGAAACAAAAAGACCTTCTTCGGATCCTTAAGCCTGACAGCTCATGCCGTGATAGTCTCCTCGGTCACAAACGTTCGCATGAGGACCCCGATGACTCGGATCCTCATGAGGGGGAGAACAAGAGACAAAGGACACTTGAGCGTGATGCGTCAACAAGCCAACCTTCTACGCAATCCAACCAACCTGAATCCTCGAACAATCAGCCCCCACCATCCACTCAACATAAAAGCCAAACAGCCAACTCACCCACATCTAGCCCGGTCGAGCTAGAAACAACACTCCTAGGCTCATCTTTCATAGATGTAGACCAAGGATGGAGTGGAAGTCCTGAGGTTGCTACTTCGAGTACACCTTTCTATTCAGGCCATCAGAAAGAACCTAGTTCTAATCTGGTGATAACGGGCAATCCTGAGGATCCCGGTGTTTCACATGACAGGTCGCCTTCGACACAACAACAAGCTCACTCTAAGCCCTCTGGTAATCAAATACAAGATGAACTGGAAGACCTTCTAGTTCATGATCAGTGGCCTCGCGAGTGGACAGAGTGGGATGATCTTAGAGTAGAAGCGGAGCAGTACGAAATGTGTCGAAGCTGGCAACTCAGAGAATTCCTCAACAAATATCATGCACAAATGATTGGACTTGATGAAGATGAACTCAAGGAAGGGGAGAATCATAAAGAAAATCCCAAGGCACCAGAACCAGTCAAAGAAAAATGGGAAATTGTTAGAATCAAAGCCCCCTTCCTAGAAGAAATCCGAGAGAAAATCTGGCGACAACCTGAAAAAATCAAGAAGTTCAGTGAATTAAAAATGCGAGGAATCAATCACTTGAAAGGAAAATACCGAGGAGGTAACCTGTATATGCTAGGACACAGATCCACAGGGGAACGAAGACAAGTGCTAAATCATAATCTCGCAACTAGTGGATGTCCTATATCGAAAATCCTGGATATCACAGAAGACTACTTGGAAACGATTAAGTTCCTGATCTTTCGTCTACGACGTACCGATGGCTCGGAGTTCACCTGTCAAGAGAATGACTTCTTCCTACTGCACATGGATGATATTTATCAAATGTTCATGAGATGCAGGGAGCTCCCAGTGCACAAAGACAGACTTGCTAGAGAAGGTTTTGAGGCCATTAAGAGATTCATGACAAGACAAGTTCGGTTCTACGCCTCCCATGATCTCCAGATGACTCTTGAGCACAATTATTCAAAGGCGAATCTTACACGACCGGACTTGGATAGACCTGGGCTTGAAACCTTTGCAGCATATGATACATTTGACAAGCCCATCTCAGTCATTTATCTGAATCACAAAGAAGAGAAGCGTCTGATGATTGTTGAAGACATTCAAAAATACTGTGATGGGACCCTGCAAATCATCCGAGAACAGCTCCAGCCAAGGAAAGAAGAGCTAGATAAAAGACAGAATGAAGCCTCGAAGGAAGAAATCAAAGAATTGGAAAGAGTCAATAAAATCTTGAAAGCCATCGAGAAACAACTAGACAGAAGAAGGTCTCTCAGAAATTACGAGCATGCACTCAATCTTAGAAAGCATTATTTTAAAGCTCAGAAGTGAAGAACAGAAGAAGCAAGAACATCTGATCACAAGGGGGAGATTGTTAGAGATATTTTCATTATAATTGTGATCAATGTTACTTTGCTAGTTTATAGTTAGCTAGAATAATGAATAGGCCTTTTAAGGCAATTTTGTAATAAAGGTTTTATACCTTTTTAGGTATGGGCCTTCTAGAAAAAGGAGCCCAAATGATTGTAAAACCTACCTTTCCCGTCAGGCTATAAATATGCCTTAAGGGAAAGGCTAGGTTAAGCTTTTCGATACATTCTGTGCCGCAGTGCCTATTTCTGTGTAAGGTTTTCACGCTAAAAACTCTCATATCATTCTGTAAAACCTTCACATCAATGGAAAGCTTCATACACAGATCTATCTTCCATACATACATTTTATAGACTAGAAAACAGGGACCTAACACCATTTCCTCCAGGAGAGTCCTCAATTGTGTGTAATAATCATTTACATTCATGACTCCTTGTTTGAGTGTACTGATTTCTTCTTGTAGATCTGCAATTCTACAGGCATCTGCAGTGGAGAATCTCTCCTCTAAATCTGTCCAGATCTCACTTGCAACATCAATCCAGAGAATGCTTTGAGCTATTGAAGGAGAAACAGACCTGACGATCCAGGAGGCAACGATATTGTTGCACCTCTCCCAAACAGCATAGAGCGCATCATCCTTGGAAGGAGGAGTGATTGATCCATCTACGAAGTGGAATTTGTTCTTCGTTATTAACGCCATTTTCATGGCTCGTTTCCATGAGTGATAGTTGTTTCCTGTTAGCGGTACTGAGACCAGATTTAGGTTAGGATTTTCTCCAATATGGAGATAGTAAGGACTCGTTGAGTCATCTGAATTGCTAGCTCCGCCTGAACCGGCTGAGACTGCGGCGGCATAGGTTATCGGCATGGTCGTCGATCAGATCTCTGATACCATATTGGATTTTAGGGAGAGAGAAGAACAGTTTCTAGTTGTAACAGAATTAGTTCAAAGAGAAGATAATTCCATTGAACTCATAAGTCGGTAATACAATGGGTATTTATAATGAAAGAAAATACAAAGTTTATTTTGTAAGTATATGCTATATTCCACGAGTGTGATGACGTGTCTCTTTGTTATATTTATATCTCTGATAAAGACTAAGGGGGCGTTTGTTTAGGTGTGATTTAAACACTTTGCATGCAAAGTTTAGGGAAGTAAACTGTTTACACTGTTTGGTTTAATTTTTTAATGTAATCTGTATGACACTTTTTTTTAATCATTTTACACTGTATCATATAATTTATTTTACGTGGGGGAGGGTGGTAAAATGGTTTACACCGTATTATAAAAACACGCTCGTCTGATGTTGACGAGTCTAGCCCTACTCTCTTTGGCGGCAAAAATAAAAAAGATGGCGGTAATTCCATCTTTCGAGCAAGTATAAGTAGAAGAGATCTGCTCAGCTGCTCTCACAAACTCATCTTTCCGAAGCAAGCATTAGCTGGTCTCCTCTCACTCAAGCCAGGTAAAAAAATTAGTCTTCTTATATTTTTAGCCGCGTTTATTTGGAATCAAACTTTTGTTGACCTAATGATTTAATATGCACACGGTTGGTTGAAATTCCTTGCATCTAGATTTGGCTTCGTTTTTAGATTTGGCTTCATCGATCGTTTTTAGCCGTTTTTAGATGCTTTGAACTCAAAATTGATGAATTCAAAGCATTTGAGTTTTAATATGTTCACATACAATTTTTAGATCAGTCCTCTATCTAAATTTGGCTTCGTTTTTATAATTCTTATTACAATTACAACTTGCAATTTCTCTCGTATGTTTGGAACTGTCATAAAAATTGAAGATCTGGGGTTCTAAAGTCAGTTTTGAACTTTTGATATTAGAATCTTTTCATCTATATAAATTAATCATTTTTTCAATTGATCATTTGGGTTTAGTTATGATTTTATATAATTTGCTTTTAGTAAAAGTTTAGCCGACTTGAGTTTTTACTTTTTAGTAGACTTTTGTATTGCTTTTATGATGGCTTTTACTAAATTAATTGTAATATTTCTACTCTTCTGTTTTTTATTCCTTCAATCAAACTGCTGTTACTAGCACCATTGATAATTTATTTTTACAAAAACACTTGCATTACTCTACAATTCAATTCAAAGCATTTGAGTTCCATGAAAACTAATCATAATGGGTTTACTTACATGATATATAAGGTTTATTTTCTGAATATTATAACTTATATCATGATGAATTCAAAGCATTTGAGTTCCATGAAAAGTAATCATAATGGGTTTACTTACATGATATATAAGGTTTATTTTCTGAATATTATAACTTATATCATGAAAGTTATAGTCTGATTTACTTTCTCTCGTTAGTGTGGAAAATTGACAGCCCTACGCAGGAGGAATTAACAATGTACATGGCGGCTTATTCTGTCATGTTACATTTTAAAAACATACTACTTCTGTTAGTTGCAATATTGGAGTACTATGCACCCAATTTTGTTCTAAGAAAGAGGAAGAGAAGTCAAAAAGGAAATGCTTACCAGAGATACACAATTAGATGTCTAAATATTAGAAGTATGATTTGGGATGATGATATAGAATGTGTGGATAACATTAGGATGGATAGGAGAGCATTTTACAAGCTCTGTAATATGGTTGAAAGCATTGGTTTGTTGTGGTCAACAAAGAACACGTCTATTGAAGAAATGCTTGCTTCATTTCTCTATATTTTGGCTCACAATACTAAAAATAGAGTAGCCAAGAGAGAATTTGTGCGCAGCGGTGAAACAATTAGCAGACACTTCAATAGTGTCTTACTTGCTATCTTGAGATTACACGAAGTTTTGCTTAAGAAGCCTGAACCAGTACTTCAAAACTGCAGAGCACACCCATGGAAGTGGTTTAAGGTAATAAACTGTATATAATTTCCTTAAAACTAACTCAAATATGAATACAAGTTATAAGTTAATTACTAACAAAATGTTTGTTTAATTGTAAAAATATAGAACTGTTTAGGTGCATTAGATGGAACATATATTAAGTTAAATGTTGCAGAGCAAGACAAACCCAAATATAGAACAAGAAAAGGTGATTTGGCCACAAATGTATTGGGAGTTTGCTCTCAAGATTTAAATTTTATTTACATACTACCTGGTTGGGAAGGGTCCGCTGCTGATGCAAGGGTTTTAAGAAGTGCAGTTTCCAGATCCAATGGTTTTCTAGTTCCTCAAGGTAATACTTGTGAGAAGTAAATAATACTTGATGTCTCTTAGTTATATTTTCAAATCAAGATAACTTCTAACCATAAGATATTACTCTAGGTTACTACTATCTTTGTGATGCTGGATACAGTAATGCAGATGGTTTCTTGGCTCCGTATAGAGGCCAGCGCTACCACTTAAAAGAATGGAGTCAAAACAATCAACCTAGAACAAAAGAGGAAATGTTTAACTACAAACATTCTAGCGCTCGTAATGTCATTGAGAGATCATTCGGTTTACTTAAAATGAGATGGGCGATTCTTCGTGAAAGATCTTGGTATCCTATCAAGACGCATTGTAGAGTGATAACGGCTTGTGCTTTACTGCACAATCATATAAGAAGGGAGATGCGAAGGGATCCACTTGAGGATAAGGTGCCCGAGGATTATGTTGATCCTGACACGTTGTTAAATGTCCCAAACATACAGGATATCGAACCCTCCGTTGCGTGGACTGCATATCATTTAGAGATAATTTAGCACAAGAAATCTGGAACGAGTGCCGTAGGAATTAAGCTTGAACTTATTGGTTTTATGCATTGTTATTATTTTGTTACTAGTTATTTATCTGTAATGGACATGCTCATAATATTCAGTGAATTTGAGATCTAACGTTTTTATTACCATTTCAATAGTTGTGTTTGGCATTTGATTATATTTTCCAAATCTATTGCCAAGTTAAACAACCTATTATACCCATTTTTTATATACTGTCAATGATACACATGGTACGATCATGCAGTTTGTGTTGTCCATGTTGATTCTCTTAATTATTTGTCCATAAAAGGTAGGCACTTTACCATGGAAGATTGTACTGTTATCTCAAGTACAAAGGTGAGCAAGCGTAGCAATCATCAATGGTCTCCTCATGAGGACAAAATTCTTATTGATGGCTGCCTAGAATTCATTAACCAAGGGTGGAAAGCTGAAAATGGTTTCAAAACGGGATTTTATCAACAATTGCAGAAATGGATGACTGCAAAAATCCCTGGTTGTCATATTACGGGAGATCCACATATAAAGAATAGGTTAAGACACTTGAAAACACAATACTAAGAATTTTCAATGATGAGAGATGCTTCGGGTTTTGGTTGGAATGAAGAAAGGAAAATGGTGACTTGTGATGATGAGGTTTGGACATCATGGATCAAGGTAATATCATTTTGCTGTCCTTAACTGATTGGTATTATATTTTGCGTGTAAGATTTTACTCTTTTTGTATTACTGTTATTAATATAATTGTTGCAGAGCCATAAAGATGCTACTCATTTGAGATATAAATCCTTCCCTTATTTTGATGAGCTAGCAATGATATTCGGTAATGAATGGGCATCTGGGGATAAGTGTGAGTCTCCTGCTGAAATGGTGGCAGCTTTAGGAAAGGAAAGTGATCCTTTGACTGGAGGGTCCATGTCGAAAAAGGCTGTTCAAGATCAGGGGCGGATGCACCCTTATAACGATAACATTTGACCTTTTTGTTTATTTTCTTTTGCTTTTTTTCAATTTATCACTTGTGCCCCCCAACAAAAAAATAAGAGTGCCCCCATTAAATACTCCCCAATCATTTTGAAATGGAAAAGCTACGGACTTTGCTATATGTCCATGAAATTTACTTTGTATTTAATTAAGTAGGAGAATATTCTCTAAATAAGATTTAAAAAATCTCAAATAAGAGTGATTATTTTCTTCCTAAAATAAGACCTATGCATTCATATTTAGAATTTTTATTATTATTTAATTCTTCTAATTGTACTAGATAAATCATTTGTTAGGAAGATACTCCGTAACATATTTAATTCTATTTTAGATTTTTTTATTTATATTTTAGTCTTATTTGAACAATTTCTTTTTTATGAATGTTATAACTTGCATGATTTTCATCTCTTAAAATTAATTTATATGTTGTCATTTCAATCTTGTATATCTTTTAGAGCGCGTTGGTAAACCTGTCTTTCGGTTTATCAGTCTTAAAGTCAACATTTTTCATCAAGAACATAAATTTTGATTTTGCACGCTAAGTTTTAAGGAGTATAATACTCCGTAATAAAAATACATAGGGTTGATGTTACCTTTTCTGGCTGGATTGACTAAAGTTATTGTAGATGACCATTTTACTTATTTTTTTCATATGATTTTTATTTATTTATTTTATTAATAATATGTATTTTAATTTTTTCCATAATTCAATTGAATTAGTCTGTTCAACTACTTCAGCCAGAACTTCACAAATCTTAACAAAATTAGTCAATTTAAGTATTATCAAACAGGCTCTTAGTGAATATGATGCCCCCAACAACTATATTTTCTAGATCCGCCCCTGTTCAAGATGACTTTTTTGGTGTGGTTGTGGATCTTGAAAGTATGAATGATCATATTTTTTCTACGCCTGACATCAACAAAAACAAGAAACGGGCTGCTAGTGTTTCAATCAAGGAGGAATTTAGTGGAACAAAAAAATCCAAGAAGATTGGTTCTTTTGATAAACATGCTGAAGACTTTCAACAAAAAAATGGAAAGAATTATGGAATTATGTGCTACTTCAAACAAACAGTTTGAGAAGATGTCAACTTTCTTTGATTGTTTTAATGCAGCTGATGATAACAAGCCACATATTTTAGAGATGATAATGAATTTACCAAATTTAAGCAAGGAGAACGCGATTCGAGCATTTGGAATCATATCAGCTAGTAAAGGGAAAACAGATTCGTTTTTATTGATGCCAGATGAAGAGGCCAAACTGATTTACATTAGTGCTGTTCTAAATGGTGAAATATGATTACAGCATGTTCTGTAATTATGTTTTTCAATTTTGTCTAGGATTTATTTAATTTCTAAGCAATTTCATATTTGGTTGAATAAAGCAGCGGACTGCTATTTGAACTTTTATAAATTTAATGCTACCCACTTTCTGCTTTTTGATTTTATTAGTAGCTTTCATGTTTTTCTTTGAATTATGCATTTCATTTATAAAATTAAGATCACTTAAATTTCTAGGCATGAATTACTGCTACCCACGGTCTGCTATCGTTTGGAATCTGCTTTTGCAATTCTTAAACAAAAGTAGCATGCCAATGATTTGTTCAGGTTACCTTGTAAATGGTGGTGGATGACACAATGTTGTTGTTTTCTCATTTGCTTCAGAAGTCACAAGGTTGGCATGCGTAGCATGTTTTGTATAATAAGGGCTCTTTAGACATTTGAATTATACATTGCATGCAAAGTTATATTTTTCAACCAAACAATGTAAAGGCTTTTGATGTAATTTAAAATTAAAATATACACCTAACCAAACAATGTATTCATATTTCGCACGCGAAGTGATTACTTCCCTACATTTTACATGCAATCAATTCGCATGCAAAGTTTTAATGTGTAAAGAAACAAACGCCCCCTAAAGTCGTTTGTGAGAAGGTAATGTTATCTTTTCTTCTTTTATTTAATATATTTTAATATTTGTATGTGTGAATTGTTTAGTAATTTGTTATAAAATTACTCCGTATGAATTTGTTTAGTAATTTGTTAGGTTAATTACGTTAAAATTTCTAATAGCGAGTGAACAGTCTTCAAAAACCTCTACCCAAAAAAATAAAAGGTCGAAATTATCTCTTGTATAATTCAATTCTGATCCATAAGGTGGTTGCTTATCAAGGTTTACGTAAATTTATTTGTGATTTTAATTCTTTGAGTAGAGAATGATTCTGATCATATCCGTTTCGAGTACTAAAGATGTTTTTTAATTGGATTGAAATTTTCTGGTCTAGTCTGGTCTAGTAGATGTTTGGTCTGGTCTAGTCTAGTCTGAACAGGTCGGGTCTGGACTTAAAAATAGTCTCAGTAAAAACATCCTTATTAAATAGGGATTTTTGAGTAGTTTCGATGCTTCATCCTGTTACTCACCACCCCTTCAAAAAGTTCTAGTTCCGCCACTAGACACAAAAAGGGAAATCCTCTCTGTCTACCATATTTAGCAAAATCTTCTGCACATTTATAATTTGGGGTTTGATTCTTTTCTTTTTGGGGGTGTTTGGTTTGCAGCCTATCAGCTAATTTTTGGCTGATTTGACTAATATTTGGCTTTTTGACCAAATTAATCAGCTAATAAGGTGTTTGGTTAGATGACATTTTCATTTGACTTTTTATTCCAAACAGCCAAATTTTCAAAAGCTATAAAACCTTACATTTTACGAGTAGCCGTTTCTCATCTTTCCATGTATTCCTTTATTACCCACTGTCCACATTTCCTTCTTTTCCGTATCTGCTCCGTTCCACACTCCACTGAGAAAAATAAAAACAGCAAAAGCAACAATGAAGAGAAAAACAATGTAACAATGAAGACAACAACTCAACAAGTGTCCATGAGATATTTTTTTTAGCTTTTTCTTCAATTTTGCTTCGTCTTGTGTATTAATATACATAGTATATACTACGTACCACGTACTTTTTTATGTTAAAATAATAATAATAATAATAATAATAATAATAATAAATGTAAAGTAAATTTTACATTTTTGAACCATAAAATGGTTTAGGGAATTATATATGAAATGTTAATTACATTAAAAAAATTAATTGATGTCCTTAACAGTCATTTAACGAGTTATCAGTCGATTGTAAACAGTCGTTTAACCAAACACGATTTTACAAACTGCTAATACTATCAGCTAATCAAAATAGCCAACAGAATCCGTTGTTATCAATAAGCCAACAAAATCAGCCAACAAAATCAACCAACAGCTAACGGCCAATTGCCAAACACCCCATTTGAGGGTAGGAGTTCAGATTCTTAATTGTTACATACTTGGTATATATTCAAAATTGATTATCGTTTTTACCCATTTTCTGAATATAATCACATCTTATGGAAATAGTTTTAGCCAAACTGTTATCTTTGAGCGTTTCTCAATCACTCAATGTGTATCCTCATTCCAGAGTTGGACTTTTAAGCCATTTTCAGGAGCTTATCAGCTCTCTCGAATAACAATAAATGGTTTAGCTTGTGCAGTAAAAGCTATACTTTTGAACCTTACTCCGTATTTACATGGAAGCTAGTTTACTAAATCACCTGGAATCTAGTTTCAATTTATTGAAGCTGAAATTTTGAAACGAAAGGCCAACGTACAGCGCAGAATTCAAAACCAACTATTTTACTTTTTATAATGTCTTTACCAGGCAGTAAAAGTTATTCTCCTTAGTTGGATTTTCCTTCATATTTAGGCTATTGTTAGATGTTTTAAGGTATTCTCAGCATGTCATTAGCTATTGCTATTACTACATGGTTCAAATAAATTCAGTTTCATATAGGCTATTATTATTATTTGGAAGCTATAAAAATGGCTATATATGTTTCTCATTACCTTTTTATTCATAGAAATTGTTATTCATAGAAATTGTCCTGGATACTGGATAGGAGTAAAAACGTTTTTGAAATTCCAAAATAAGACCGTAATGTTTTTATACACTAAATAAGAGTAATTTCTGCCAAGTTAAAAAAACTGACATGTTTAAAGCGTGGTAATGCCAAACGTGGCAAAAATTACTCCTATTTAAGGATTATATACATGCCAGTTCTATTTTGGAATTTTAAAACTTTTTTACTCCTATTTAGAGAATTTTCCCTTTTATTTAGTAGCTATATTAGTTTATCGTTTGCCATTCCTATAATCTAAAATGCGTTGTAAATAGCTATTTATGTTTCTCATTACCTTTTTATTTAGAAGCTATATCATTTTCTCATTAGTGATTCTTATTTAAACTCCAATATTATTTAGTTCTCAATTAAGCTTAGGATATAAGCTGTTTTTGATCGTTCTCTCTACCAATTTTTCGTTTGATGTGCATACTTAAAAAATAACTATTTATTTCTCCTTACTTTATTACACAATTCACTATGAAAAGATTTCTTATTCTTTTCAAATATCTTCTCTGTGGGATGAGATACATTTTTTGTTCTCTTTTTAATTTAGTAAGGGATACCGGAATTTCAGTACAGTAATGGTAAGGTTTTCCGACATATTGAGATTTCAGTATGGTATTTGGTATATGCAAAAAAATCGGCATACCATACCAGACCACTCAGAGTGACTAGTAATTACTTGATGTGATACAATGACGTGTATTGTGAGTGATTATATGTTTGATGCACAAGTGTAATGAAAGGTACATTTAGGTGTATTGGAAAGGAGGGATGAGGAAGATGTGAACCAGAAAAAGATACACACCAGTGATGGAGATGGAGAAGGAAGTATTTAAGTCTAACAATTTGAATTGAGAAATGATCGAGTGTGTGTTAAAAAAAGAGATAGAAATAAATTTTAGCCCTCATTAATAGATACTCCCTCCGTAACATTTATATCTTCCCACTTTCCTTTTTTGGATGTAACATTCATATCTTCCCATTTCTTAATCTTCCAATCATACCCTCAATAATTCTAAAAATAATATACTATTACACCTACTTTTTTTGGATTTATCTTTCATTCCATCACATTATTTCACTATCTTCCCATCATACCCTCAATAATTTATATCCCATTTCACTATTCTTAATCTACCTACTTTTCAAATGGGAACATATATATGTTACGGAGGGAGTAGTATATTTGAAGCAATTTTTTTGTGGAAATTTGAGTTGGAGTCATATCAACGGTACTAGTAATATTAGTGCCATTTTTTGAACCCATTGGTATACCATCGGCGGCGGCAATGCTATTGTCCTGGCGCTGCAGCGCGTATATTGTGTTGTATTTATACGAGGACATATTTATTTGTACACATAATTTGTCTCTTTTTCCAAATAGAAAACTAATTCTATTTTTGTGATGAAAGCAATGTTCTAAAAAGCGTAAGACGTGGCGAGGCGGGACGATCAAGCCCGAAGCCTTTGAAGCCTAGACGGGTTTAGGCGAGACCTAGGCGTGAAAAGGCGTTTTAGTTTTTTACTATTATTTTAATTTTTTTACTCATTTCATATGTATATGCACTAATATTACTTACAAAAAATAGAGGACAAAAATATGACTTAATAACTACCGAGTATTATTTATTATAATTGTGTTGAAAGTTACATAGCAATGATCACACATGTAGTCACTGCGATGTAATTTTGAATACATTTATAGTAATTAATAGTTACAAATTTACATTTTTTCCATGATTTTTTTTACTAGTAATATTTTAGAAAAAAAACCCTTTTTATATTTTAATAGAAATAAATTTTTCAAAAGCACAAATAATAGGTTGATGAAAAAAATAGTTAATAATCCGTAGTAATTTAAAAGAGTTGGTTGATGAAAAAAACACTTGTACTCAGTAAGGATAGTTATAATAATAATTACAAATAAAGAAGATTGCTTTGAATTAGGATATTAGTTTAAAAAAAGTCATTTGCACTTGTATCCCACGCCGGACGAGTTAGCAATGCGGAGTTGACAATGGAAAGGTGCAACCTTGTATGCGGACTGCGGAGTACTTCGAATTCATTATCCCACACCGGACAAATTGACACTTCCTCCTTCCAAATACTCTATATAATAGACATTCCATGCAACTCTAATAGCAGCGTGTTGCAATGGCGATTCAAATCCACACCTATGCAAAGCAGGCGCCTTTATGCACGCCTATTGGGTAGGCGAGGCGTTTGGTTGACGCATCAAGCTTAGGCGTGCTTAGGCGGCGCTTTTCTGAGCCTTTTAGAACACTGTCATGAAAATAGTATTTAGTCATTATTTCTATATGGTATTCCTTAAAAAACCTCACAATAGAGATGCTTTTGTTAAATACTTCAATCGCAGTTTTCACTTAACGGCGTGATGACGTCGTCGAGAGCGGGTCAAACCTTAAAGAGTGATACCGAGGGGCTGTTTAGATCTGAGCAGGAAAAAATATTGGATTGTTTAGGTAAAAGTCCGAGTTCTCCAAAATGCTCCTAAAAACAGTTTTTTAGAAGTTGGGGAAAATAATTTCTTAAAAATTTATTCTGATTCTGCTTCTGCTTTTAAAAGGGTAGAAGAAGCAGAATCAATTCCAAACGCCCATGATTACAAGAGGAGTTAAATTCCGGTTCCAAATCCAGTGTATGTTACACATTTATGGAGCATAATAGTGTGTGGGCTGTTTTAATCCATACTTCATACAGTTACAAATTCAAGCTCCGTTGACTAATGTTTGCAGATTATATAAGATGAATTCACCTCGGCAGAGGGCTTCCTGTCATCTTTAGTTTATTTAAATGGATTTCGAGCTGGAAGAGTCCCGCTTCCTGGGAAATATTGAACTTTAAGTGACAAATCCGGTGATGCCAAACAAGAAGAGGAAGAGAGGGGTGATATCCACGATTCACCCACGAAACAAGTATTCTGAAAACCCACCTGACTTCGGATTACTGGCTTCTCTTTACCCATCCTTTGCCCCCTACGTTTTCTGCACCCCTAACGGTCGGCACAAAATCGATTGGACTGATTTCAATGCCACGCGAGAGCTCACCCGGGTCTTGCTTCGCCATGATCATAACCTGAACTGGTAATCGATTGGCTTCTCTTTACCCATCTCTTTACACTTTTAGTCTATTCTACTTTTATTTTTACTGACTATTTTCTCTTCTGAAAGGCAGTAATGCGTTGTTTTGCTCCTTAGGCGTCTAAAGGTTTCAACTAATTGTTTAAAGTTTGTAACTTTGTACACTATATGCTATACCGCATCAGGTTCCCACCATTCATTAATTTTTAGTAATGAATATCTACAATTTTTAGCTTTTCAAAATGCATATACTCATCCAATCAACTGCAAATGGATTGTTTCCACGTTGTGGCCTTGTATGACCAATTAGATGAATACTTTTACTGCACTTTTCAATATTGATAGCCTTGGCTGAGATTTATTAACTTGATTGAGACTGTAAATAAGGTTTATACTTTTATTTAAATGCATAATTTTAGGTGGATCCCTGATGGGCAGCTTTGCCCCACTGTACCTAATAGATCAAATTACATTCATTGGATAGAAGATCTTTTGTCATCAGATGTTGTATCTATGAGTCAACCACAAGACAACACCGTGAAGGGTTTTGATATTGGAACAGGAGCAAATTGCATTTACCCCTTACTTGGTGCATCTCTGCTGGGTTGGAGGTTTGTTGGTACTGGTATGTTTCTTCAAGGGATGCTTTCACATCACACTTCCACCAAATTTGTTTTTCCATTGCGTATAGATTGTGTTTGGAACTTGGTTAATGGTAAGGACAGAGAAAAACTGCCAGGGAAAATGAGTGTTTTACATATATGTATTTCTTATTCTTTGTATAATAGAAATATACTGTATAAATTAAGAGACTTGGATCAAACATCCAAGCTTCATTATTGACTTGAACCATTTTTCTCATCTCCTCGACATTCGATTTCCTCCCAAGTTCCATGTATTTCCTCCATATTTTTATTTCATAGCATTTCCCCAGTTCCAAAATGGACTCAAAAGTTGCAATTTCAGATCTGTTGTATCCCATCTTTGGCAGATTTTACGGATATAGCCTTGGAGTGGGCAGAGAGAAATGTCAAGAGTAACCCTCACATATCTGAATTGATTGAAATCAGAAAAGTTGTCATTAAGGATCCATTATCAGATGGTGACGGAGTTATTAATGGGCCACTTATCAATGGCAAGCAAGATCTAGATCATGATAGTAATTATCACGGCCCACCTATTATTAAGGGCGTTGTGAAGGAAGGGGAGACTTTTGACTTCTGCATGTGTAATCCTCCATTCTTTGAGACTATAGAGGAAGCTGGACTGAATTCAAAAACTTCTTGTGGTGGAACTAGAGAAGAGATGGTTTGTTTCGGAGGAGAACGAGCCTTTATAACCCGCATGATTGATGATAGTGTTCAGCTCAGGCAGTCTTTTAGGTATTATAATATATATGTGTTATTTTTAAAAAAAATCATTTTTAACCTATCAGCAAGCTTCATTGTACTACCTCCGTCCCAAAACAGTCTTGTTTCATGAAGGTACAACTTTTTTGGTTTTGTTTAGGACAACTCTTGTAAATCATTTTAACTTTTATTTGTTTGTTAAACAAAAGCATACATAACTTCTTTGAACACTTTTTCGTTCAATGATTAATAATAACAATTACATAAGTTCAATAATTTTTTTAAAATAGGGCTCTATTTTTGCGTCCTAAAGAAGTTTCGGAATAATATTTTTTTGGGGTGAAAGGAAAAATTGGATTGTTATGTTAATCTCTATCTATGTTTATAGGTGGTACACGTCAATGATTGGACGAAAAGCAAACATGAAAGTTCTGATATCAAAGCTTTGGGAGGCTGGAGTGACTGTTGTGAAGACGACTGAGTTTGTTCAAGGGCAGACATGTAGATGGGGACTTGCTTGGTCATTTGCCCCGCTGGCCAAGAAGCTAATACCTCACAACATTGCTGAAAAGAGTAATATGTCTTTCATGCTTGAGGTGATATTTTTTCTACTTCTGCCTTGTACTTAAGTTTTTGTCTCTTCCTATCTATCACTCTGTTTTTAACTTGTTTTCTATGGATATTAAATCTCATATAATTGATAGTTTAGTCATGTTTCAGGGACTTCAATCTGTTGTGAGTGCCTTCAATTTGTTGAAATCAGTAGAGTCATTTTTCTGTAGCAATGGTGCATCGTGTAAACTAAATGCTGACTCATTTAACGTTGATGTACGTTTCGATATTTTTCTGTGAGGCAATCAATTAATCATATATTTTTTTCCAGCTAAATCACAAAATTTGTAATTAACAGATACTGTATCCCAAAGAACACCCTGATGTCCTTCTGAAGCCCATTGAGACGCATAACGGAGACCATGTTAATGAAATAAATGACCTGCACTTCCGTGTTTCAGTAATTCTGCTTGCAACCCTTTTTAAAAAACATGAGCCTTCATTAGTGTGTACTGTGTGGTTGCTTATGTATTCTACCCTTCCAGGTGTTTCAGCAAATATCAGGGACACTATTAGTGAAAGGATCTTTGCAGAAGAAAGACACTTCTACCAGCTCAGGTTTCTACTTCCATAGTCCTGTTTCAAACAGCCTTTTAAACTTAAAAAGATCACCACATATTCGCATATGATAAATTTAGTTAGGCAACATCTTTTTAAGAATAAGTTGGTTTTATGATCTGTAGCAGACTAGCAGTTTTAAAGCTGTCCATTGAACAAATATTACATTTTTTTGGGGCTACGTATAATTAAAAAGTTCATTATTACTCTGTTTGCTCAGTAATCTTACGTTACCTCCGTTTTTGGTAAGTTGCTCGGTATTCTTTTTGGGAAGTTTATTGATACTTGCTTCACTTTCTTAATTCGACAAATATGATCATGTCAAAGTACATATATATCCTTGCTCTTAATTTTCTTTTTTCTACTCTTTCTACATTTTCATTTGCCCTCTCATACTATTTATATACTCTGCCTCTACTATTCGTGGTAGAACCCTTCCCTGGGGACGCCAATATGCAGTAGTGTGCCCCCTTTTCAAACCGTGTAAAACGCAATGGATTGACTCATAAAAAACTGAGGGAGTAAAACATATTTGCATTACCTTGGGTTTATGTTTTGATGCGTGTTACCTTTCCATTTGGAGGTGATATGGGTTACCTTCGGTTTCTTATTTTCTTGGCAAATCTGGGCATGTTGTATTCTACTGAGTATGTATAATTTCCAAGGTAATGAAAGTGGTTGTGTTCTGAATGTTTAAGGTAATAATATGACATCGCTTGAATCAAACACCCCCCTCATTGTAAACATAAATCAATAATGTTAGTTGTCATGATGATAAATGGTCCCCACTAATCCCTTATGTGTTTTTTAAAGTTGGGTACTTACAACTGTTCTTTATTCTCCTTGCACAGGTGCATTTGCTTTAATGTTCCAACGGCTAGAAATGTTTCTGAGGAGTACCTTTTGTAGGGCAAAAGGCAGCCGCTGATGCATCTCCCACAATCCCAGAAAGTAGCTTTCATGGCATATTTATAATCGATATTTTTGTCTAAAAGCAAATATATTTTCATTCATTCACATGTGAGTAGCATTTGATTAAAGCAGTTAATCACATTATCATTTCAATTACGACTTGAAACTCATAATAGTCCTTGGATCCTTGCATTGGTGAGCCCAACACAAGCATCCACAAAATCCTCATCGATAAAATCCGTAGAGAACACCTGCAACCTGTCCACAATACCCAGAGAGATGCACTGATTTATGAACAGCCTAGCATATGGGCGGATCCGATCTGTGACGGGTCTAACGCACACCACTGGATTATCCGCCTGCGGTGTCACTGTATTCTCCACTCTGTAAAAGAACTTCCTGGATCCCACTGGCGGCTGCTGACTCAAATGCTTAATGTTGTTGTCGAACTTGGTCTGCGGCAAGTCTGTGTCGGTCCAGTTGTCCCTGAGATGCTCTGCAGTCCACAAGAGTGGCCCCATTGAGGTGGGACCCACTTTCCTTGGCTTCCAGAAGCAAATGATTCTCTTCGGCAACAAATCTGCTATCGTCTCCCCAAATACATTGATGTCCCGTCGGATGAGATATTCCCCAAATTGTCTTTCCAAGTACTTGTCAAATCCGGGCGGGTCTTTGTGCCCGAACTCCGTACGGATATCCAAGAGTATGATCTCGGATTGCGTCTCAGATAGGAATTTCTTGACATCGCGTATGACAATGTTGAAGCTGTATGTGGTGAGGATCCCGTGGCAGACTTTTCCACCCTCCTGAACCCGAATGTCGAGAGTTCGGGTACCCATTACGAGTTGCTGGTAGATTGACAGGGTTTGACATTGTGCGAATGGGCGAGAAACGAGAGGTATGCCGATCTTGTCTGTAGCAGAATCATGAGTTCCTGGCCATACGATCATATCCACGGAAACTTTATCCGGGCCTAGGATTCCCATCCAGTTTTTCCGGTTAGCGGGATGGTAATCTGAACCCGGGAATTCAGTGCAATCCCATCTCTGTTTGAGCTCTGACAATGATTTCTTTTCTACATGGATTGCCTTTTGTCGGTTAACCTGTTTGGACCACTCAGCCCCCATTCTCACACACAATCAAACAATTAGAACACAAACGTAAAAAACATAATAAAAATTTAACAGAAAATGGAAAAAACGAGAAGATCCTGGTATTCCCCTCCTGCAGGGGTCTCTTCTCCCTTTGGTGCTTGCACAGGCAAGCAACATGTCGTTGGCCATTTAATATTTGCATTCTTAACGTAATGCACACACGAACTTTTCGTAAGCATGTACCCAATTTTATTGGATCATTATTAGTTAAATCAATCAAATCACATATAGATTCATTTAAAAGTACTCTCATTTATACTGCCTAATATGATGCTTCATTTAAGAAATGCACATCCAATTTCTTTCATAGACAGGTGAGCATAATCAACCCAATCAATAATTTTAATTGCAATATTTACAAATTTAAACTCCTTAATTGATGGCAATGAGGGTAAATTTACACAATCGATTCTAAGGGCGTCTTCATTAGGCGTGGCGTATTGCAGAAAAAGTGTAACCGACTAACCGGTATTCACATGAAAAAACATACTTATAATTTATGAGAAGATGTACTCTTTAATGCAAAACAAAATCAACCGAGTCTATTTAGTTGGCAACACACAGTCTAATAGGAGGTCTACAGAAAACAACAATCTCACCTCCACTTTGAGAGCATCTCCAATGCTCTTGATGCATTACTGTTGATGTGGCAACTAAATGGAGGTCTACACCAAATTTCAGTAAAAAGGCGTGGTCTATTTGAAGGGCACTCCAATGCATAAGGGGAAAAACAAAAAAAAATGATACAAGAAAACAAAAGAAAAGTCGTGCATATGGTTAGGGGTGGGATCGGGATGATTCGATCCCGATTGCCCAAATCCCGATCCCGTCCCGATCCCGATTCAAACTACAAGAGGATCCCGTATCCCGTCCCGATTAAGTCGGGATCCCGACATTAAAATCCCGATTAAGTCGAGATCCCGATCGGGAATCCCGCTTAATCCCGCTAAATCCCGACAATGAAGTATCAAACATAAAATTATGTAATTTCTTTAGTTAAACACTAACTTTGATATTCAGCGGTTTCAAAATTATTCTTTGTTCATTGTTATCCCATATTTATCGTCATCTACATATAAAGTTTATTGTAATAATTATCCTCTCAAATACACACTAGTACATACTTTTAGAATAATTTTTATTTGTTACTTCAATTAACTAATAGTATAATTTTTGAATAAGCTATCAAGGCTTAGTAAAACTTACTTCAAACAGTTTATAAAAATCACTAAAAGAAGGATGTGTAATGTATATTATTTAAAATTCAAAACTAAGTAGACTCATTGAGAAACTTTGTGACCAATTAATATAATGTATAAATAGATTATTTACTAAAGAAAGAAATCTTAGTCTTGATCATAATTTTTAAAGAGTTCATCAGAACCGCAAAATTTGTAATATTGTTGTGATTTAGATTGTCGGGATCAAGAATAATCTCTATTTAGTTAGGATCCCAGATATTCATTTTCGGACAAATTTAGTTAAGATCCCAAATACTCGTAGTAAAAGATTAATCTATGTAAGGAATAAGTAATTAAAAAGGATATGCAAATATTTAGATACATATTCATGTTTTTTATAAATGTATATTCATTTTTTATATATTCATATATAATTATATATACATGTGTGTGTTTGTGTGTGTGTGTATATACATCTTATAAAATCTTATACACACCAATGGTGGTTAGGGCATTTAAGGTATGAAAAAAATGTTGGTGTAAAACTAAAGCTACATTTAGTTGTACAATTTGTTATACTCATTGTACCATCCATTATCATTTGCTTACCTCCGTTAACATGTAACGCTTATCATTAACGGAAGTTTAATATATATCGTAATTGGAATTTGGAAATGATGTGCTTTTGGACCTTTAGTATTCCAATGCCATTGAATCTCTCTTCAAAAAAAGTATCCCAATTCATTTGAATTAAAATCGCCATTAGTAAAATGGTACGGAGTATGTCCTAAAATCATTATTGTTTATTAAGTATACATAATCCTCGTAGTATTAAGATGTTATCACAAAAATTTGACAATTGAGTATGATTGAATAATCTTAACTAAATATTATGCTAGAATATTCTATCTACTACTTAATTGAGTGTAGATATTTCTATTTTGTTGTTAAATAGTTCTATCAAAGAATTTTAAATCTATTATTATGAACCTTCTCTTTAAAATGAACTGAATTAATAAACTATTCAAATAATCTTTGATCAAGTGGATTTTTTTATGGGAAAAGATCAAATAATCTCTTCTATTGTTCCCAATCCGTCACTTGAACTTATGTACAAAAAATATCATATATGTACGTCTACTATACAAAATTGATCAAATTTACAATTTCATCAATTTTTGACCTGTAATAGCATGTTTTTTATATTTAAAAATTCTAAAAAATTGTTAAATTTGAAGAAATATACACAAAAATTGTGAAATTTTTTAGAATAACAAATTCATTTTTTTTTATTTTAGAAAAAATTTGTATATTTTACATCTATTGAAAAGGTTTCTAAACTTTAATTTTTATTTTTTATATTTTTTATTTTTTATTTTTTATTTTGTTTTAATTTTTTTAAACATTTAATCTATTTTTACATTTATACTATTTTTGTAGTATTAGATTATTTATTCAAATTTATATGAATTTTTGTAAGATTTATCAATATTCCTAATTAACTTAATTTCAAAAATAACCTGCTATAGCAGGTCAAATCAGTTGGTTGATTGTATTTTAAGAGTTGACATACTTATATGATACCTTTTTTAGTATAATAGCTTAAGTGACGGATTGAAAATAGTAGAAGAACTTATTTGACCTTTTGTCTTTTTAATGATAATTTGTGAGCACGTTTTGATCAAGTTTAGACTATGTTCACAAAATTCGATTTAAAATTGAATCAGAAAGTCGGTTAAATCAGTTATTGAAAGGTGAATAAAAACGTAGTGTTTTTCAATAATATATTTAACTGACTTCTAGATTGTATTTTAAATTGAAATTTTATGGACATTATCTAAACTTTATAGAGAACATACTCATAAATTTCCAGTAAAAAATCCATCGAGATGCACCTCAAAAAAATCCACCCATAAAATTATTAGTTTAGTGCCAAAAAATCATCCTACTCACTCACAGTTGTTATAAAAAACTAAACATAGGCCTAATGTTTTTCCATTTTGTTTGGCCTAGAGCCCTCGCCCCGTGGGACTCCCCTCCAAATGTTTCTATACTTTTGTGTCTTATTATGCAGTTGCACATCAATATGGGCTGATTTATCATTGTAGTTATGAAAATATTCTGAACTTTTTTTACAAGTAAAGTCGTAAATGTGCATTACAGTGGAGAAAAGGTGCATTTACCTAACACAAAAGTGCATCACGCTTCAGAATGAAATAAGAAGTGTCAATATCATTTTGTAACTTTTTAAAGAGGTGAATGTGCACCTTTACATATAGTATTCGCACATTTACTCTTAAATATTTTCCTAACCCGATATATTTATCTATTCCATCCATTTTTATGGAAAACATCTCTATATTAGAACCTACCTCCTCTTTATATACACACATGTTATTATCGTGTTCTTTATACTTATCTCTTCAACCACTTTAAACTCTTGATAGATACTTGTAATCCTTGTCCTAAATTAAATGGACATATCCATTTGGCACATTGGGCACTTAATTTATCGCGCATCGCGCGAGTAAAAACTAGTACATACATACATACATATAGGGGTGAGATCACATACTAACCATTCCTCCCATGCTAACCTACAAACTATAAAAAACGGTGCATCTTTACATTATTTGTACTGCATATTGAAGTTCAAAGTGTTGCATATTATTTGTACTGCATATTAAAGTTCAAAGTTTTGCATATTGTTTTTATTGCATATTGAAATTCACAGTGTGCATCTTTACATATTTTGTACTGCATATTGAAGTTCAATGTGTTGCATATTATTGAGTTAGTAAGTTAGTATTTTAGGCATGGTTAGTATGTGATCTCTTATCCATATATATATATATATATACACACACACACACACACACACACAAATGTTCCTGTCAGGTATACCTGACAGGAACCGCCGTCCGGTCTCCTCCTTTTGGGGGCCTTCCCGGTGGCATTTTTTGCTCAAATTTTTTTGTGTATGTTCCTCATCAATTCTAGTTCATCCATACCAAACTTCATCAAAAAATTCAATCGGGAAGATCGTCAAATGATTTTTGCAAGTTAACTGGTCCGGAAAATACATATTCCGGACCAGTTAACTTGCAAAAATCATTTGACGACCTTCCCGATTGAATTTTTTGATGAAATTTGGTATGGATTAACTAGACTTGATGAGGACCATACACAAAAAATTTGAGCAAAAAATACCACCGGGAAGGCCCCCAAAAGGAGGAGGCTGGACGGCGGCTCCGGTCAGGTATACCTGACCGGAAGATTACTCTCTCTCTCTCTCTCTCTCTCTCTCTATATATATATATATATATATATATAATGTCGGGATGTCAGGATTTTCCCGATCCCGACTTTTTTAAAAAAAAATCCCGGTCCCGTCCCGACTTAGTCGGGATCGGGATTATCGGGATCGGGATTGTCGGGATCCGGATCGGGAGTCGGGAGTCGGGAGTTTTTTCCCAGCCCTACATATGGTACACAAAAGGACTTCTCTTGCTTAGGTGGCATGTCAGAAGGTGTAAGTGCGGGTCTGCTTCTAGACCTTGTGTTGGAAGTAGGGTTGGGTCCGAAAAATCGAAAACCCAAAATCGAATCAAATCATACCGAACCGTAGCCAAATAAAACCGAACCGCTAACAAACCGAAACCGAATGTAAAAAACCGAACCGAACCGTAGTTGTTTGGTTCGGTTTTGGTTTTTACCCTTCAAAACCGAACCGAACCGAACAAACCGAACTAGTTAAAATATAAAATTTATTTGTCCATTGTTAAGCATTAATCTTAACAGATCCTAATATCATTAATAGGTTTTTGGTTTTCTTGTGCTAGAAAAATAATGTTTGTTATGTTTAGTTTAGTTTATGAATTCATTTACACATTCATTGCATGTAATAATGTAGCTATACTGATAATATGTTTTTACTTGTTATTAGTACTTTTATTTTTATTTAACTTAAAGAATTCGTATTGATGAAACAATAAATATTTATCTCAACTATATCACATATAACGTATATACTCATGAACTTTTTTTGAACTAAT